AGTAAAAAAATAACCAAATTAAAAACATGATTTAAGAATTAAAAACTTATTGTATTGTGAACTAAAGGAATAATAATTGGTGTAAGTATTTTAAAGAGTCTATAATACTATTTTTCTTAAAGTATTTTATATAATTGCTTATATTTGTTGACAATAGTTTGTATACTTTTATTTTTTTTTAATTTATTTCATAAATGTTCAATAAAATTTTAATCAGAATTTTGAGCAGACCAAATAAAAACATTTATTTTATTTTTATCTATTTAATTTAATATTTAAAATTTTATTAAAATTTTTTAAAAACTTATTAAAATTTCAAATATGCAAGCAAAGTTTGCCAATATTATAATTTAAGAGATATATAATTATAATATTAATAAATAAATAATAAATAATAATATGAATAATATTACTTAAAAATATAATATTATTATTATATATATATAAGTATAAATATAATAAAAATAAACAAAAATAGTTTAAAAAGTTTTATAATATTTAGATAAATTTGAAAAGTTATTAAATATTAAAAAATTCAAAATAATATGTATAATAATATAATAATAATAATAAAATTGTTATTGCAATTTTAATAACATAATTTAAATTCTTGACTTTTAATTACTAAGTTTTATTATTTATTAATAAATACATTAATAGTTGATTTATGTGTATTTTGTTATTAATTATGAACTTTAAAATAAGATTAATTTATTAAATAATTTATAATAAAAGTATTAATAAAATTTATAAGTTAATTTTAATCAAAATTAATAATAACAAATTTAAATTTTTTTAAATATTATTATATGTTATGAAATAATATTGACAAGTCTATTGTTATATTACAATTATTATTTATATAACATTAAATAGAAATATGTGAATTTTGATATGTGATAAGTAAAATGTTAGATATTGAGCTGAGTTTATTTAAAAAGATCTTATTATAATTTGTTTTTCTCTAATAATATATTTATATATATAAGATAAATTCAAAAAATCCAAAAAATTCTTAAGCTTCAATTAAATCCTAATTGGATAAGAATATTATATGATTATATCACAGAATTTTTTTAACACTTTTACAATATAGTAAAAAAATTATTGAAATTTTTAAAACAATTTATTAATTTTATAACATGTCAAAAATATTACAGTTATATAAACAAAATAATATATTAAGTTTTAAAAAAAACAATTATTAATTATAAAATATATTGATTTTAAATTTTTAAATTTGATAACAAAAAAAAATTTGTAATATTCTATTATTTATATAGTTAAATAAAAGTATAAATTAGCCAAAATTAATTTTTCGTATACAATTATTTGACAGCAATTATTTTAGATATACTAAAATTTGAGTTTTAGATTTAAAATTTAGTATTAAACAAATTAGTTAAGTATTAATAAATTACTATATATTATTTATAATAATGATGTTTGAAATTTTTTTTAAAATAGATATCTAAATTATTTTTTAATAAAGAAACAATTAATTTTAATTTAAAATTGATATTAAATATTGACTGGTTTTAATTATATAATAACAAAATATATAATACTGATATTATACATGTAGCCATTATCAATTTATTATACAATATATTCTTAAGTGTAAAAACATATTGAATTTTTGCATATTACCGATTTTAATAAATTAAGTTTGCACAAAATAAATCATTATCTTAACTTAATTGTTGCCAAAATGATACAATTATGAAAAGAAATAATATTAGACTTAGCTGCTAAAAATAAAAAAGGAAAAATATTTAAGATGGCTATGATTTTGATTTCATATGATACTTCTGTAGTGTACAAAGTATGCAGACATACTTTGGTTATAAAAAAAAACTAACCTAAATATATATTTGGTGGTATAAAAAATAGAAATAAATGATTATTGTTAAAACCAATTGATAGTACAGTACATCAGAATGAATCAATGATATTATCAATGTTAAAGGTGGATAACTAGATGGTAATTATTAATAAATGCTAATAAACTTATGATTTTTTTTAATAATGCATAATACTTGAAATTATATAAAGTATTAAAGTTTTAAGAAAAATGCATCACTTTTGTAATAAAATTATGATTATTTTAAATAGTACGCTTATTTTTTTTATTTAATTATTACCTAAGCGTTTTTCATTCATATTAAATTAAATATAACTACGTATTACTGTACAATACTTGAACGTTAAAAAAATAAATCAGAAAAAATTTTAAGGGATGTTTTTTGCGATCTAGTGTACATATCTTTCGTAGAAAGTGCATAAGCCATGAATAAATGAAATACTTTTTACGCGTATACAATAATTAAAAAGTCAAATCATATCATTATTATTTTTTTCGCATTTATGATATGCTCTCATTTTAAAATTATTTAAGCTATCTTGATAGTGAGGGTGAGTGCGGATCATAATAATCATCATACATGAGCGGATTTATGATTTGTAAATTTTTTTCATTTAAGTTTTTCCGGCGAACTCTTGGCATCATCTATATAGTCTTTAATGCTGAAGTTTGAGAACGCAAAGTTGAATTTCGGCGATGTGACTTTTTAAGATCTTCCAATACCTTAACAGTATCATCTAAGCCCATTCGTGTAAAAAAAATAATAAACAGAATGAGATGCTTTAATACTTAATACAAAGAAATGGAAATAAACCCTTACTTACTCCAAGATTTCACAGGATCTTCAGTGCATGTCTAGTTCATGATGGTCCTCTCAACTGATCGGAAGCCGAAAGCCCCAATGAGAAACATCTGGTAAGTCTTTGAGACAGGTAAATCCATTTCCCATACTTGTACATTTAGTCCTACTTATAAAAAAGATAATTCGTTTAACAACTACAAAAATAAAGACTTAGAACTCATCAATTAACTTACCATGCATATGAAAAAACCAGGTATGCAGAATTTCATAGTCACCACAATTAAACCTTGTAAATATATCATTAAGGAGGTCACGACTGCCTCAATATCCCTTCGCATAATCCTTCGGATAGCGAGGCATATCAAAGGTCAAATAGCTACCGGATAACTCTATCATGTCTAATTCATGTCCTTTCTCACCAGGGGACTAGAAAAAACAACCGACCTTCATACCTAAGGGTCTGTCATCTGTAGATTTATATCACGTCGTAATAATCGCTGATTTGCACTAGCTTTATGGAAATCTCGCCTCTATATTTGAAAAGAAAATTGCATTTTAAAGTTGCAAAGAAAAAATGAATAAAAATCGAATCTATATTATATATTAGAATTGAAAAACATACGGTACGTATATAGGATGACCAGCTAGTGCATTTGCAAGATATCGTAACACCGGATGAATCATGAGTGAGCCTAAAATTGCGTCATTTTCATTTTTGCTGTGAAAAGTTGAATACATTTTTTGCACTTTCAAATTAAAGTAAGTTAATAAATAGGTAAATGGTACTATTTTTGCAAAAACCAATATACTTACGGGCATCCGTTACAAATTCCATTCCTTATTGACTTAGATAAAAAGTCATAAAGAGAAGAATAGATTTTCAGGACCACGGATTACTTCTTTAATCTATTTCCGGAAAACAATAACCAAATATCTTTTTGACTGTCTTTGTTTGGATTCTTTAAGTGTTTTTTATAAAATATTTGCTCATATAACTCGGAGTCTGTAGATGTGATGTTTGGATCTATATTTATTGAGTACTGTATCACAATGTCGTAAAGATCTGCTGTATCATTTGGATATACAGTATCTCTGATTTGTCATCGAAAGCTGGCATCTCCATATTCTATGTATAAAGAATGGAGTTTAATACATTAGAAAACCGGAGAACAGTTTTTTGTTCCTTTAATAAATTCAAATTGCAAACATTACTAACCGTTTTCCTGGGCGTTCTTGTAATTTGTTCTGAGTTTATTTCCATGGTTTGTACGTCTCGTCACACGGACAGAACTAAAGCTAACATATCACCAAGATATTACGTTCAACATGTTTTTGAAATTTTTTTATGGCCTTAGTCTAGTTCTTGGCAAAGAAAAAAGACAATTAATATAGCTCCCGAAGATTAATGAGGTTGAGGGGAAGTGTCGAACCTTGCGTTCATGACCGGTCGACTTAGCGTGTCCCAGCTTGTCACCGAATGCAGTTGAGATAGGTACGAACCTTGTGTTCATGACCAGTCGACCTAGCGTGTCCCAGCTTGACGATATCTCAACTGTCGAGATAGGCACGAACCTTGCGTTCATGACCGGTCGACCTAGCGTGTCCCAGCTTGGCCATATCTCGACGCCTTCTTTAGTCTCACAAAACGAGACTTTATCCCCCTCAAAGCTCACTACTACTCATCACACTTACTAAAAACGTACCTTCCAATAGATCGAGCTGTTCTTCCTCGTAATATATAAAAGTCAACTTGTTTACTGCTTGAGCTCTAAGTTGATAGCGTAAAGAATTTTTTAAGAGTTGTTTCACAGTAGCAGTTGAAAAAATGTATGACCGCACGTGAAATTACATCACTAGATTGCTAGCGTATAAGTATTAATACAAATTAATAAAAATCACGTGTACATTCTTTTACGAAACGCCAATCACTTTTACAAAGAAAAATTCTCGATCACATATACAGTACTGTACCTGTCATCGATAGAAGTAAATCGAGAAAAATAATTCATAAAATAGATGCAAAAATAGATTATCGAAAAAACACTATTGCTATCAATTATTTTTTGGTGATTTTTCGATAGCCCTCTTACTGGTTGGGGAATTATCGACAGTGATTCGATCTTTTAACAATAACACCTAACACCTGGCTTTGCTCCTTTTCGAATTAATTCCAGATTCTCCTCGAGCGCTGTTTTAAAGAGATTTATTTGTTATTCACTTTTTACTGGTACAAAGGCCATCGGTGGCAAACACGATAAAGTGTCATTCCGTGGCTAATGATATTTAGTGGGAAAATTCGAAGTTTCAGCCAAGCTCCTGCCAAAAAATTCACGTATATACCTGTAGAAACTATTCCGTAAAGATAGTCATAATCATTTTGAAAAGCTTGATCTGCTGTACGTTTCTTTTTATTTGTATTATATGCGCTTTCTAATTGCATAATATTCTGAAGGTTGCCGATATCAACATTATGAGGCTTACCCTCGGCTATATACATGTGATCCTCTTTCCCTTTGATAGCATAGTCAACATCGTTTTTTTCTCTTCTCTGGTGGGTTCCAATAACGTTTTTTAACCACAAATTCGAAGTAATGTATCGCTATTAATTAAGATTATAAAATGTATTTGCAACCATTATTATGTTTTCATGATCGTGAAAATAAGCAGTAATGACAATACTACCACCCTCAAGAGCAATGATACTACCGTTTCCAAGAGCAATGATTATAACACCTCTGAGACCAATTATTCTAACATATTGTTTTCCACATTAAGAACCAGACAACAAAGCAAGCCAAAATAATCTTTATCTTATAAGTAATCTTTGTGATATAATTTCTCCATGGAACATTCTACTATTTCTGAGATATTGAAATATGATCTTGTCACAGACACTTGCTAACTTTACTATGTATTTAATAAAAAATAGATGGACAGACCTGTGGAAAAATGTCTAAAGATAATTTATAAATCGATAAGAATAATGATGACAATAATTGGAAATGTTAAGTCAATCGTAAATATTGATTCACCCTTTCTGGTGTTAGCCTATCTCTGATTAAAACACATATCTGTATGTCGTTTGGCAATTTTTTCATAAGTTCTTGTTATGAAAGAATGAACTCTGTTCTAGCACTAACTCTGTTATAATAAAGAAGGATAGTGAGCACTCGATTTTCTTTGATTTTTTTATACGACAGGAGCTCATTGTAACGTGATTTGATTGAGTACTGTAATAATTTTGACTGTTACCAGTTTAAACTATTCTGATTGGATGGATCACTACTCTGGAATGGAGGATCTAATCAACCTTATTATGAAACTTATTTTTAGGATGTATCCGGATAGTAGATACATCCTTTTTCTTTGAAATATAAGGTTAATCCTTTTGGGATTTTCTAACCTAGGTCTTGCTCCAAAATTACAAGTGGTCATATTATATACTGTATATACTTGTTTACTGAGTATGAGGTAGATGATCAAGAAGTACTCGAATCAGAGATATCAGAGTTGGTGTCTGACGAAGCAAAGCTTCAAATTTCCAATTCATTCAATTCCATGTTGAAATATTTAACCTTATTTTTACTTTTTTTTTGACATAGGCTAGATGGTAAGATGCAGGGGTTATGTTGCGATATATTCCATGATGATTCTTTCGATGCTTATTATCTTGGGCATCTGGGAGGTATTTCTTTAATATATTCGTAACTTCTTCTGGAGTTAGATTGGGTTTAGACCTCGTTGAATTAGATGAGTTATTTTTAGTGAAGCTGACTTTTTTAAAATATTTGTTAACTAATGGGATGCTTATATCATCTATTACAATTTTTAGCATGAGAATTAAAGATTCCTTTAGAAGATAATTTAAAGCTTATCTTTACTTCATGTAACTACAACTGCTCTTGTCTCAATATCAGATCAAATTTTAAATTCTTGTGAATTATGAAGTTTATTGCATCGGTATCATCTAAGCTATAATATGTTTCTTTATATTGGATTGTAAATTCAAACAATTTATTTTATTTATTGTATCTTCATAAAGCTTCTTGGCAGATCTAAAGGTAGAGTATATGCCATGATTTGATTTAAGTTTATCGAACAACCTCTTACTAATAGTATTAAATTTTGAAAATGTATCAATTAATACTTTGACTATGGTATTTCTTTTGACCAAACAGTATATACACATATTAGATATATTTAATAATATAATATTACTACATAAAAATAAATAATTTTTAAACAATTGAATTTTTTAGAGGAATATCCATATTCTCAAATATACTTAATCTTGCAACTAGTTTTATCAAGCAATATAAAGTTTTTATTTGAAAAAACCTCTTATATTTTCTTTAAACTATAAATTTTCTAATATCAATATATATTCAAAAATTTAACAACAAAAATATTGATAATTTGTTCTTATTTAGAATCTTAATACAGCATTGTAATCTATATTTTACAAATTATTTTTTTACTATATTAGATTTTCTAACAAGATTGTGTACTTCTATATAAAACTTTTTATTTATTTTTAATCAAATTTATTTATTATCTTCTTATTTATAATATTATAACTAGTATCAAAAAATAATATAGCTATAATTAATACTTTATTACTTATCCCTTAAATTGTAATGCAGAAAATTTGCCTGCATATTTAAATTTTTAATAAATTTTTAAAAAATTCTAAAAAATTTTTAAATATTAATTTTTATAACCTATTTATATTATAAAAAATATAGTTTAAAAAATTCTTTATTAACTTTATCAAAAATTATATTACTTTTAATACAAATTAAAACTTTTATAATTAAATCATTAAAATAATAATAATTAAAGTTATTTTTACAAATAATTCTATAAAATCAATTATAGATTATATAAACTTTATTTTAAAAATTTTTTAAATTTGCCTAAGACCAACTTTTATTAAAAAATTTTATTAAAAAATTAAAGATTTTGCTTATAATTAAACTTTAAATTTTTATTAAATAAATAAAAAATATAGCATATCAATAGATAATATATAATTAAAACTAATATTATATAAATTTTTAGAAAAATATTTGATTATTTAAAAAAATACGTAAAAAGAACTTGTTAATTAAACATATTAAAAAAAATGCCCTATGATTTAAGAAATAAGTCATATTTAAAGAGTTTAATTTTGCAAAATAAATTAATTATTATAATACTTTATCACAATAATAATATATTGGATTATATATTTTTTATATAATATATATTAATAAAATTTAATTAGATCCAATAGTTTATAATAAATACTAATAACTGTTTTTGATAATAATAATTTGAAATAATATTAAAATTTGATAAAAAATAATTTTATATAAAAAATATTATATTTTTATTATATTCAATAATAAAATTTAAAATTTGATATTTGATTGCAAACTTTAATATATAATACTTTAAAAAATAATTTATTTCTAATATTTCTTAAATATAAATAAAAAAATTTTTTTGTTTAAATATAAAATTAATAATAAAATAACTATATATGTAATAAAAACAATAAAGTATAATTAATTCTTATAATTAGAAATTTTTACGAATATATCATTATAAGATAAATAAATAGTATAATGTGATACAATAATACAATGCATTTATTATACATCAGTAATAAGCACCAAAGTTTTTTAAGCTTAAAATGATTTATATGAAACAACAATAGATAATTATATATGTTGCTAGTGATATAAATAGAAATAGAATTGTCTAGCAATAGAATAATAATTAGCTAATCTTGTAATTAATAATCTTTACTTAATAAAGAAATAAACTGTTATTTGTGCCTTTGATTTATTAATCTAAAAATAAATTAGTATATTGTAAAAGATTCAAAGAGGCTGGAAAAGATATTTGTAATATGGATCAAGTATTGGTCTAGTAATTAAAATAAATATTAAAACTATTAGTCAAATTCTTATATGCTTCAAAGAAGAGAAAAGCTTACCTTAACACTTATTATATACAAGTACTGATTCCAAGGTAGTAACAGACTCATCAGAAATAATGATAATGGTGCTTATAATATTATTTAAACTATTACTCTTTATTTTAAACTTAATATAAAATCCATTATTTTAAAAACTTAAAATATAATAATAGATTTTTATCTTATTTTAAATACAAATAAATTTAAAAATCAATTTATTCATTAATAATGTATATAAAATTATTTAAAAAATTATCCAAACTATTTAAAATATATGATTTTGTTTTATTATAAAAAAATTTATCTATAATTTAATTTTGAATTAAATATAATTTTTACTATAGGTTTAAGAAATATTGAGTAGAGGGTATGAGTAAAGTTATTCTCTATTATATTTTCTATCAAATTAAAAAAAATATTTAAAGTTTATAAGCAAATGAAGAATAATCTGAATTTCAAAGTTTATATTAAATTACTAAGTAAACAGATTTTTTTATTATAACAAAAATTTGCACCTAAAATTTGTGTGAAAAGTCGTGTGACTGATAAATATCTCATACTTACGATTGATTTGTTAATATACGTACTTATAACAATATAATATAATAAATATACGCATACTACTTGCTTTTTGAAAAGCTTAAGGAATAAGAAAGAGTTTTACTAATATTATTTGTAGTTGATTAGTCGATTAATAAACCAAACGATATTTAAATATTCACAATCGAATATAATCACCATGCCAACCTATATAGTACAGTAGTATTAAAGTAAATTTCACTTGAAATCATTGTAACGCACTGGCACACGTGACACATAAGTGATGTAAGGGTGCCGCATAAAGAACACACCCTCTGCGGTCGAAAATAGCAATCAAAACAGTATAAGTAATATTAAATTATTCTAATAAAAAAATAGAATGCTAGGATATTTCTGTTTAGATTCTCTGAATTTTGAAAGTCAGCTTTTTCTCGAGATGTTTTAATAGAATGCGTTACTAGATTTCTAGAACACGAATAACATTACTAATTTAAGAAAAATTCCGTAGTACATTTCTAAATCAAGAAATCGAAAAAATATTTAAATCACAAAAGTTGGTTAATTAATTTTTTTTCTCAATTTTTTTCGTAAAGTATGAACATGGAAGGTTCACATAGATTTAAGAAAGAACATGAAAAATGCCCCGGATGTAAAAACTTTAGCCGGTGTAAAGATTGCTATTCTGAACGATTTCTGCCTGTTAATAGCGGAAATTTAGATATTGACAATTTAATCAAGGCAACACATATAAATAATATTCAATATAGGTTAGAGTGGATCCCATTTGAAGATTTTACGGATGTCCAAGAAGTTGAAGAGGGAGGATTTAGTATTATATCCACTGCTACATGGATAAAAGGAAGAGTTACGAGTTATTCTGGAGGAAAACTTAAGCGGAAAGGTCATATGAAAATTATACTAAAAGTCCTTAAAGATTCTCAAAATATAAACTCGGAATTTATCATAGAGGTAAAATAAAAACTTTTACTTGCTTAATTCGTAACTAATAGGTCATTAAAATACGTTAAATCTTTAGTTACATAATATTGCTAAAACACAACCCAACTCCTCTAAGCGTTGTGTTGTTCATTATTATGGAGTATCGCAAGATCCGATAACAAAAAATTATATATTTGTTATGGATTATATGAAAAATGGAAGTTTGTATGAATATTTATCTAAGAATTTTGATGAGATCAAATGGATGGACTGGGGAAAAAGTAAAAAAATAAAAGTAAATTTCCTAAGGAGTCTCGTTATTGGAATTAAATGGATCCATAAAAATAACATTATACACCGCGACATACACAGCGGAAATATATTAATACATGAAAATGAAGATTCATTTATTGCCGATTTTGGATTTAGTCGACCCGCGAATGAGGTTCCAGGATCAAGTGTATATGGAATTATGCCATATATTGCACCCGAGATATTTAATAAAAAAATTTTTTCATTTAGTTCTGATATCTATAGTTTAGGCATGATCATGTGGGAATTAACAACAGGGAATCGTCCTTTTTATGATCGAGTGTATGATACCAATCTTGCGTTAGATATATGTAGAGGACTACGTCCGGAAATCACCGAAGATACATCAGAGTTATGGGCTAGTTTAATGAAGAAATGTTGGCATCGAGATCCTTTACAGAGACCTTTAATTAACGATATACTTCAAATAATCGATTCTTCTGAATGGGAATTTAGTGGAACTTTCTACAATGCAGAACAAAAACGGCAAGAAATAAAATTTAGGAAACTTGTACAGGAACAAAGAATTTTGAACAAATCATTTAGTCAGTTATTAGATCCAATAATAGAAACTACGAGTCATACTTTAAATTTATTTACAAGAACAGGATCATTATTCGGTAATGATTAATTTTTTTTTAGTAAATAATGTTAACTACCATTAATTATGGTTTCTTATAAAAATTATTTTTTTAGAATCCTCATCTATGTGTTCTTTAGATATTATGAAAGATGTGTAAGTAAATTTTACATTTGAAATTGAAAATTACTGTATATAACTGAAGTTAATAATTCAATATTTATCCAGTTCTGAACCCATAAAAAGCGCTAATTATTTGAACAATAGTAAAAATTTATCGACTTCATTAAAGCATACTATTGATTTTTTTTTAAATGAAGAAACTAGTAAGTTAAAAAAAGTTTTTTCTAAATAAAAGTATTATTAAACTTATATATTACATATAATAGACCAAATAAAGCGCAGAAAATTGATTAACTATAAAGAAACAATCACGAGTGATGGTAATCATTGTACATTTCAATTAGCTCATTACCCAATTACAGTATTAATTATGTATCTACCTATTATATAAAAATATTGTAATCAAATTTAGCTAAAAATAATTGTAAATGCGATTAAAAATTCACCACAGTATTTGCATTAGTAGGTAAACCGGCATCATATTTAACTAATATAAGCAAAGTTATGTCAAGTGAAGATGGAAAAGCGTGGGCCGATTATCTATGCGGAGATATTGCGGTAATCAATTTAAACATGAGAGGTAAAAGACTAGGCTACAGTGTCGCCAGAGGATTGATTATCGGTTTATGCAATAATGTCACCCTGACAGATTTAGATATAAGTAACATTAGTATAGAAGAATCAGCAAGAATACCACTGTTCAAGTCACTATTCAATAATACCAGCCTGACTAATTTAGATATTAGTCAGAATAGGATGGAAGAGATTGAAGTAAAAGCCCTGGCCGAGGCTCTAGGCAATAATACCACCCTGATAAACTTGAATTTTAGTGATTGCAGCGTGGGAGAACCAGCAGGAAAAGTGCTGGTTGAGGCTCTATGTAAGAATACCACCCTGACAAATTTGAATTTGCGGCGTAATAATTTAGGAGAATCGGCAGGAAAAGCACTGGCTGAGGCTATATGCAAGAATACTACCATGACAAAGTTGAATATAGGTTGGAATAGTCTAGGAAAATCGGCAGGAAAAGCACTGGCTGAGGCTCTATGCAAGAATACCACTCTGACCGAGTTAAATATGTGTTGGAATAGCATAGGAGAATCGACAGGAAAAGCGCTGGCTGAGGCTCTATGCAAGAATGCCACTCTGACAGTATTAGATATAAGTAGTAATGGTCTAGGAGAATCGGTAGGAAAAGCACTGGCTGAGGCTCTATGCAAGAATACCACTCTGACTAATTTAAATTTGTATAATAACAAATTAGGAGAATCAGCAGGAAAAGCACTGGCTGAGGCTCTATGCAAGAATACTAACCTGACCGAGTTAAATATAAGTTGGAATAATATGGGAGAATTGGCAGGAAAAGCACTGGCTGAGGCTCTATGCAAAAATATCACTCTGACTAATTTGAATTTGTATAATAACAAATTAGGAGAATCAGCAGGAAAAGCACTGGCTGAGGCTCTATGCAAGAATAACACTCTGACCGAGTTAAATATGGGTTGGAATAGTATAGGAGAATCGGCAGAAAAAGCACTGACTAAGGCTCTATGGAAGAATACCACCCCGATGGTATTAGATATAAAGTGATAATAGTATAGGAGAATGGCAGGAAAACACTGACCGAGGCATTATACAGGAATAAATACCACCCAAATAAGCATAGAAAAAAATTTAAATGTGCGAGTTTATTTCAAATTGATTTTGCATTAAAATGTTTTGTTATTGTGATAAAGAAGGATTGTGCAAGTTTCTATAATTGGTGGGCGAATTAAGGGCACAGTAATATGCAGCACGTAATTAGCGATACTGTGGGGATTGTAGACATGCGGTTAGCAAAGTAAATGATAGAAGTACAAATAAGATCGTAGAACGATAGAAAAAGTGCATTAGCATTATTATTCAAAATAAACTTAAAAATATTAATTACAGTTATAACTTTATCACGTGACTAATAGAAATAAAATTTGTCTAGAATTGAGAAAGTTCTAGCAATTTATCAGAGTTCAGGTATTAGCCAATAGGTGCGAAGTTAGCAAGCGAGTAGACCGATACACACAAGAATAAAACGTTTGTATTACATTGAATCCCTATAACAATTTGTTGATTGATGTGAAAGAAAAAAAACCAATTTCGATTACCAATTATTGAAAAACCATTAAAACTTTAATTAAATATTATACTTACGTATACTATAATGTGTTTTTATAACCTATATGAATTTAAATTAATTTTATATGATTCAAATTAATTCAAATTTGTTAATACAATACTCTAAATTATATTCACGACTTTCAATAAAATGCTGTGAAAGAATGAAACCCAATCCATTTCACAAGATTACGAATAACCAAACCTCATTTCACGTTGTTTTACAAAAACAATACTCAATTTATTTGATAGAAAAAATAAGAAATAAAATGGTTGTCCTTATTTTTTCACTTCTCGTTGTTATAAATAATTTTTGGATAATTTCGAAATCTTGAATGGGTGGTATTAATGTAGATAGCATGCCTACATTATTGTTATCAATGATGGTAGGAAAAACGGAAATAGAATGGATAATGAAATAAAGTGCTAATATTAACCACGTTGATCGTGATTACGTGCACTTCTGCACCGATGCGTGACATAGTCACGCATGGGTTATTATTGCGAAGATCACTGATCGTGTAACAGTAGATTGATTACTGTATTAGGTTACGTGGAAGAAAAATAAGATTTTAGTGCTTATTTTCTTCGTTGCCCGATTTCTATCTGGTGTGAAAGTCGTATTCTTCCTTTAAATTTGACTATGGCAGATGCAAATATTTCGAAAAATTATTTGGAAAACGAGTGTCAAGCCCTGGGAATTTCTACTGACGGGGTAAAATCCGATCTTGTACAGAGATTGCGCAAACACTTGAAAGGAAAAAACCGTGCATTCAGTCACGAGTCAGAGGGATCTTATAGAAGTGAAGGAGGTGATTCTAATACTCAACTACTTGATGATGGTTTGGAAACGACAGAAATGCAGAACTTGAGTTTACAGGCAAAAACACTAAAAGAATTAGCTTACCAATCTAGAAAAGGAAATGCGGCAGGAATCCCACCCACCAGAGAACAATCATCCACCCATAGTATTTATAGGTCTGAGCCAACTCATGCACAAACAGAAAACAAAAAGAAACGACCATTGCTAAACGAAGAGGGTGGAGACCAGGATTTGATCAGTAATCGAATGTTGATAGAGTTTAAGAGGCTCGAAAACGCTATGATAAATATAAATGACAAGTTAAACACAGTTACGGCACACGTACAAGGTACTAGGCACAAAGTTGAAGTCAATGAGGTATGACAAAAGCATAAATTTGAGAAAGCTCGTGATCCACACGAATACGATGCTCTATGCAGAATTGGGAAAGAATTAGACCTTGCAATGGAATCAAGAAGCACTGTAGAGGTTGTAAATCATATTGATTTAGCATGAGAAGTAGCAGCAATCGTATATTTACTTTTAGAGTAGCAGAAGGATATGGTTGGGATATAGCATCAGCTCTTCCTGATACACAAGATAATTGGTCAAAAGGAAAAGACTCATTAATAGAAAAAGCAAAAACCCTAGTAGAAGTGATAAAAACCAAACATCAGAGAATATATGAGTCATCAAAGTCAAGTAACTTTGGTCGTTGGAATGATGGTGAAAAATTTTTTCATACCAACTATCGACAAAAAACAAATTCATTCAACAAATATTATATCTGCAATGGACTTGGCCACTATGCAAACAAGTGCCCAAGTGCAACTAGCACAAAAATATTGCATCAAGGTGTATTCCTCTCCATACCTATTTGAAATCGCAAATCACCAGCAGTCAATCAGCTTATTCACCAAAGTAAACAAGAAGGTAGCCCTTATACTCTACTACTTTAACATCAAAACAATACAAAACCTATTTTTATTTGGAATAAGCAATAAACTTTCTTGGCAAGAACTTCACATACACAAAGGATACATATCAACTGGTCCCACTCCCTCATGGTTCATAAACATTCCACAATCAAGTAATTCAATTGTTGGAGATATACTACCAGTTTTTAATTGAAGACCACAGTTCTGGGCATACCTAACAAGACCCAACACACTTAGCCTCATCAAAGTTAAATGCAATGCCATTGCACGCCAGCTAATTACAGGTCCACACTATACCATTAACACTACAAAACAAATAGGAAAATGCAATTGCAACATACAACCCTATTTCAAATCTATTAACATTGACCAACTCAAATCTATATGGTCAACAAAAAGAAATAGTACCCATTACATTCTTAATAACCTTCAAGAACTTATAAATAGCTTCCCTACTAGGCCTCGCTATACCCCAATTATCTCTATTCCTCAACAACTACCTCCTCTGCCACCGACTCATCACACAATTTACTTTATAAACAGTGATAAAATAACTATTTACAGCTCTCAAACATCTCTTACCTATAATCTAAATCTCAATCCTCTTCCTTTCTTCTGGATAATCCTTAACTCACTCTGCTCTGAAGTTCCTCAACTATCCACAATTACATGTTTCTCTGCACATAAACTCAACACCAAGCTACCTGAATATATCAATCACCAAATAAAATGCTCATACAGCAGTGTCATTCAAAAGTGTCAATACCCAACTCAAAGGAAAACAAATTTCCCTAACCTGGATTTTTAACAAAAAACAATTCCCCTTAACCATTTCTCAAGGCAATCTATCACCCCTTCCCACTTTTCATTCAACCAGCTACACTACATCCCCACTAATCGAGCTTAATCTCTCAACTAGCATTACATAATGGATTAAATTCATAAACTATTATACCAACCTTTTCAACATTTTCCTAAGTGAAACTGCCACAAACAAACCTGAAAACCTCTCTAAACTAGATACTATTATTAAAGCCAACAAAAAATTAAGAAATATTGACAAAATCAAGTTCCATGCACTTTCCACCTTTCGAATCAAAATCCTAGCAAACCAGCTCCCTACTCGAGCCAAACTTCACAAAAGATATTCCTCACTTTACGAAGATGACCTGTATCCCCAGTGCAAAGCCTATCCAGAAATCATGAATCATATCTTCTCCTGTCACCACTGCCTTCCTATACTAAGAAAAAAAAGAAACAAACTTGAAATGCTTATTGCCCAAAATATTTCTAAAGAGAAATTGAATTCAAATGAGGCCTATCTCCTCCAAACAACCAATCTAACAGGCAAAACAATATTCAATATAGCTACTGGAAAATTCAACACCCCTTTTAATATTATCCAGAAAAAGGAAGAAATTTCAAATTACTCTCTCAAAGATTTGCATATGTCAATTTTTTTATTTTTTAATAAATTAGAATTTATTTACTTTATAAAATTTTTTAATA